TAAAACCTAATAAGAGCACTCACAGCCTCTGAGCTGCCTAGTGTGAAATTCAGTTTGCTGTGATCAGCCCGAGGGCAGGGAAGCAGGAGATGCTCTCTGTGCTGTATCTGTTCAGCAGCATCTTCTTGTCCCCWATTGCAAAGAAGCCCTGGTGAGGTGGGAACCCGGGCGTGCGGGCACGCGCGTCGGGCTCAGGCTCTGCTCCGTGGTGCAGCTAACAAGTCCTGCCAACTTTCAAATCTCTCTCTCTGAAATTCTTTGAGATATGAGAATATTTGAATTATTATTAWATCAGACCATATACTGTGCTTGGTAAAATTCTATGTATGTAAATATTATATAGAGAAGCACAATTAGAATTTCATCCATGTTCAAGTACAAATGAAGTCTCTCAAAGTCCAGTCAAAAGCTCTTCTCGTGCCAGGAGCCCAAGGCCGATGCTCCCGCTGTGGGGCTCGTGCCCGTGTGCCCACGGYGCTGCGCGTGCCCCTGTCCCCGCTGCAGAGCTGTCGGGCTCGCGGTTAGCGCAGCACTGTGGAATTCTTGCTGCCTCTGTTGTGTGCTTGGATTTGGAAGGTCTAGTCCACCTMACTTTGACGCACTCAGTCAAGCTGAACTAAGTCTGTCATTTCCAAACCGCTGGCGTCCGTGTGAACGGTCCCATGTCGTGTAATGACGCGTGCGCCGGGTGTGACGTGACGCGGGGCGCCAGCGGCGTGGTGACCTGGCTGTCGTGCGCAGCCCTKGCCCTGTCACCTCTCTGTGTCACCGCGCGGCCGGCAGTGCTGCTGGAGCGCCGGGCACGCACGCTGGGGCGGGTGCTCGCACAGCGCCCTCCGGAAAGGGGCAAGCGTGGGGGCCATTGCCCCTTCCTCTCAGCTCTCTCTGCACRACGTGTTCTGTCTGGTAGCCAAGGTGTCCTCATAAAGGTAGACAGTGCCTTAGCCAGCAGGATATATATACTTCATTTTGTGTATTCCCAGCCTTTCATTGAAAGAACTTCTCAGTCCAACAGAGAGGACAATTTTGTTGAACTTAAGGGCTTAGTATTTCAGRGAGCTGTTAATCTCAGTAATTTCTTAATATGAAACTATAGATATTGTGACAGCTTCAGGAAGGTGTAAAACTCTCACATATAGTCCTTTAAAAGCAAGTGAGAAATTAAAACCTTTGTCTGGCTCTTCAAAAAGACCAAGCCGTGATGGCCTGTGTTTGGTGTGGAAGATCTGAGCCTGTAAAATACGCGTGAGAAGAGCAGAGCAGGTTGTGCTTAAATGAGGCATGAGGCTTGTTTTCACAGCAGGGAAATTRGGTTGTTAAGTGGACACCTGGGTGGCTGGAGCCCGGGAAATTGTCACCATTTACAATCACTGCACTTAACACAGTGCACGGAAGCTCTGGGAGTGCTGGGCTTTTGGCATGTCTTTAATGAAATAATTGTTAATTATTAGCTAACACTGGAACTAAATTTTCTTCTTGTTTCAGTGCCCAAAGTTATAAAACAAATTTAGTCTGTGTTTTCATGCAGGAAAATTCTTCAGTGTGATCATTTTTTGTGTCTCAGAACAGATTACTACTTGTTTCTAATGTACTGAAAAAATGAGTTGCTTACAGCTGTTAACAGATGAGCTTTTCAGTTCCTGCTTTTCAGTGGCAAATAATGAGAGAAGATTTCTTCCTAAGGAAAACAGAACAGACTCTTTGTCCAGCAGTAACTGTAATTATGTTTAAATTATTCTTTAACCATGTAGTAAGTGTTTTTTTGCACGTCATAGAGTTAATGTTTTCAATCTATCTGGCTATTAGCGATACATGTGTCTGAAGAGAGAGGAGATATTCTGGCTGTTACAGCCCATTCTAAGCCAGAGTAAGTTTGGGACATGATTATACTGCATTTATTGAAGTTTGGTGCTCAGATATGTGTTCTTGTGTGCATTAACTTGGTTTGGTGCRGTTTATTGTGTGTCATCATCGCGGCAGAGGCTGGAAGGAAGAAGAGAAACCCATCGTTTAAAGTAAACCCCAGAGTGGAAGGACAGATGAGTTCAAGGACGTCAGCAGGCCTGAACGGGGCGGCCTGGGGTAGCGGTGCAGGAAGGTGTAGAGCTGGGGATGGCCTGGGCCGTGGCGGCGGCGAAGACCCGCGAGTTGGAGGAATCGCCTGGGAGAGCCTCAGGGCACCAGCCCATCTCCCTCAAGCCGCCGGGCCTGGCTGCTGCCTTGATGTTTCTGCCTCTACAAGAGACCGCAGAGTGGCAGAAACCACATTCACGTTGGTTCCTATGGTGGCCTTCACAAAGGGAGGATCCTCTGAGCAGGGTCTTGGATTCCCCCTTTTGCTTCCCTAGAAAGGTAGAGGACAGGACTACAGAAAGTCCCTGAGAAGGTCATGAGAATGTCTGAAACTAGAGTCTTTGGTTAGGGCAATTTCAGCACCAGCAATAGGAAATGAGCTGTAAGACCTAGGAAGGTAGGTACATTTCTCTGTAGTTTATTTATAATGTTGTGTCATTGCAAAAGCTATTCATCTTCTGATGCCAGAGTAATTCTCCTGCATTCATTATAAATTAGAGATGGAATAGGCCCAGCGYTTTTATTAATTCCTTTTTTATCTATACCGTTTTGACACTTTTTATTTTGTTGTTATCAGATTTGTAACTCTTTCCAAGTAGCCCCGGTCGCCCATTACCTTACGGCATTTACAGACCTTAACATCAAGACTGAGCGCTGCAGCTCGGCACTTCTGCCCAACGCTTCCAAACTATTTTTTTGCACTGCCTTTTGACATTCATTTTCGTTCTTACTGGCTTCCACCCAACCACCGTTTAAACTTGAAAACAGTCAAATGAAAACGTTTATCAGGATCCCTGTAGTAAGCAGCTCGTTGGCCAAGATCCCTGTAGCAAGCAGRCGAGGCCGTGGTGGTGGCTGAGAGGGGCTGCTCCTCGTGCGAGACACCAGTGCCTGCCCGGGCCCTGCTCCCCTCACACGTTGGGTGGCACCGTGCACAGGCTCGGCGACAGAGGCAGCGTGCGAGTCCCACCATGTGAGGCAGGCCCTGCTCCCCTCATGCATTGGGAGGCGCTGGGGTGGCACCGCGGGCGCGCTCAGCGATGAGGGCAGCACGCAGGTCCCACTGTGTCACGTCACCTGCCCAGGCCCTGCTCCCCTCACACGTTGGGTGGCACCGTGCACTGGCTCGGCGACAGAGGCAGCGTGCGAGTCCCACCATGTCAGGCAGGCCCTGCTCCCCTCATGCATTGGGTGGCGCCATGCACGGGCTCAGCGACCCGGGCAGTGCGCGGGTCCCGCCATGTGAGGCAGGCCCTGCTCCCCTCACGCGTTGGGAGGCGCTGGGGTGGTCGCGCGTGCTGTGCACGCGCTCAGCGACGAGGGCAGCACGCAGCTCCCACCGCACCCAGCCTCCATCAGCCGGACACAAGCAGAATGGCACGGAATAACCTCTGCTTAGCGTCGCTTCCAGGACTCCTGCACGGAGACCTTGTTTTCCGCTTCGAGCAGTCTCTTTTCTCCAGTGTGGCGTTGAATCTGGCTCTCTGTTGCTGTAGGAATATTACTGCGTTAAAGGAGAGAAGCGGCGCCCTGCTCTCRACACGTGTAAGCCAAGCGGTGGTCTCGAGCGCGCCGCGCTCTGCTGGGAAGGGCTGCACGTAATTCTGCACGTTATCTCTGCGACTCGTGCGCAAAAGGCTTGACGCGCTAGAGCTCTTAGCTGAATTTCCCAAAGTGAAGGCATGTACGTTTGCAGTGCTCCACTCTGTTTGCATATATCTTAATAAATCCTTTCCCTGGCCATCATCCTGTCCCCTGGAGAACAGATATTCAGTTTGAAGTTCCCAGCTCTGTACCCAGGAAGATGGGGCACAGCAAGGCAAAGGGATCCTCGGTCGGGCTCCTGCCCCATGGATAACAAAGCCCATCTGATTTATTTAGTGTTTAAGTTTTTAATATGCATTTTTAAAAGCAGCTGATATTGAAACAATGTGTGTGTTCCCTCTGCTCAAGGACTGGCTCTGGTTTCCAGGGCGGGCAGGATGCCCCAAAGCGCGCGGGCTCCTGTGTCCAACAGGCTCCACCGGGTGGTCTCTGCTCACCTGCTTTCACACGTGCGCCTGAATATGGGCCTGGTATTTGCCCTGCTATGTATGGTTCTGTGGGCAAAATACAGTTTATTGTGTAACTGAGCAGTTTATTCATGGCTAATAAACACCCATTAGTGCCTTCTGTGCCAGTCCTTACCAAATTTGAAAAAAATCTCTCTATCATCTTGTTTAAATCAAATTTTGGTGACTGTAAATTAATCTAGCGATTAATTACACCTCTTCAGAGAAAGAAATACATATTTCTGTCCAGCAGAAGGCTATATGTGCTGTTATAAAACCGAGATGGGGAGTTGGCAAAGCACAGTTGCCCATTTCTGAAATTAATGCCTTGTTCATTATTAAAGCAGACTCATCGTACAGACAAGTTGCCACAAGACACTAATTACTTTTTTTGCTGTTAAAGTAGTTCTGGTAATGAAAAAATAAACCTTAATTCCTTTGCACAGACATCAAATACAAAGCAGATGTTTCCATTGTTTGTTACCCTTGGGTAGAGCTGAATTACACCAGCCAGGGAGTCTGCTTTTCTTTTTCAGTAGATCATCCGTCTCTAGATGAAAAATATGAATCTGCTAAAGTGTCTGGGGAAACTCCTGCCCGTTCCTGCTCATGTCATGGGCTGCTGCACTGCACGTGGCTCYACCAGAACCTGGTTTGGGGAATGCTGCTGGGAACAGGTGGATAGCAAACGGACGAAATTCATSTTGTGTTAATACGTGATATTAAAGTGTAAATTTATTCATATCCCTGCATCTTATCATGTTCAAAAATCTAATGATTAATATTCTCTTACTTACTGCTATTGCCATAAGCAAAAGCAAGCTATGGGGATAGGGAAAAAGAGCATAAAAGCTGAAATATATTAATCTTTTATAGGAACCCAGTGGAGAAAGGACCAAGAACAAGATTTGAAGAAAGTTCTGCAGAACACAGACCAGGACATCCCACTCGTGTTTGTCAGCGGCAATCATGACATTGGCAATACTCCAACCAGAGAAACAATAGACGATTATTGCAAGAACTGGGGAGATGATTATTTCAGCTTTTGGGTCGGAGGTGTTTTGTTTCTTGTGCTAAATTCCCAGTTGTATTTTGATTCTTCTAAATGCCCCGACTTACGGCAAGCCCAAGACATGTGGCTTAATGGACAGCTGGCTGCAGCACAAGAGCGTAAGTGCAAGCACGTGATAGTGTTCCAGCACATCCCTCTGTTTCTGCGGACGCCAGAGGAGGAAGATGACTACTTCAACTTGGAAAAATCAGTTCGCCAAGAGATCCTGGTGAAGTTTCACAAAGCAGGTACTTTCTTGTGTTTTCCTATCCTAGAATTCTTGTTTCAGTTTAATTGTTAGTGGTTATACTGCCAGACAAAATACATTAAATTTGAATGGTGCCATTTTCAAGGAATTTTAGGTACTACTTACAAGCCTCATAGTTCCCCCARGTCAAAATTTTCAACCGAGTCTCATCACATTTCAGAAGGACCAGAAGAATTTACAACTGGGAGCCTATAATGAAAAAACAGAAGTGAGAAACTCCCTAAAATATATGTAGCAAGGAATCCATTTCACAAGCATTCATAGACAGGAGACTCTCTGATTTTTTTTCCTGTTTAAGGACTAGAAAATCAGGTATTGCTACAAGAAAAAATAAAAAGAATTTCTATTTAACATGAACAGAGAAACAGAATTCAGAATTGCTTTTGGATTGTTTTCTCCCACTCCAAGCCAATTTTAAGCCCCGAGTGCCAGGCAGAGCAGATTTATTGCGTGTTGAAGAGGGTTTTCTCCCCTGCAATGGGTGCTCTGCCTGCACCCGCGCCATGGGCCGGGCGAGGGGCTGGCGCTCGGCGGGGCTGGCGCGGGGAGCCCCCAGCTCTGCCTGGCCCCATGGGGCCTCCCGCTGCCCTTCCCATCCACCCTTCCAATCCCATGTCCTGCAGTCTCCYGGTCCCTCAGAGCTCCTGCCGGGCCTGCCCCAGGGTACCAGTTTTTCTGCCTCTGCAAAAGCAGGTGTTATTTGGATTACTGAACAATGGAAATTGCTTCTGGTATTGTTCCTAATTTCCCATATAATTGTTATGCCTGGTCTCATCCAAAACCAGCCTCCTTTCCAAACTCTGGCCCTCCTCCCATCTCCAGGAGGGAAAGCCAAAATTCACAGTTATCTGGGAGCTTTCCAGAGCACTGACAAATTTGCAGATTCAAGATTTACAGATTTTCTTCCCCATGAGGAGACATGCAGAGAAGACCTCATGAAATCTTAGTAGGGGATAAAAAGGAGTCTTCTTTGGACACTATGAAAATTTTGTACTTTACTGTAACAGAAGGGACATTTTATATTTAAAGAAAAACTGTAGGATGTATGCTTGTAAATGGAAGAAAGTAACATTTAAAACAAAAAGGAGGCAAGAGATCCAAAGATAGCAAAATTTGAAATATATGTGTGTATAAGCTAGTCACTTACATTACTGCATCCTAGGTCAGTGAGTACCCATTTCCCTTGCCTCACTGTATAYATGTAATCTGTTCTTATTGTAAGAGGTTTTCTTTCATCTTTTTGTTTTGTGTGTGCTCAAGGTAGTGACTTCTAGGATGATTACTCCCAATTTTTGCATAATTAATCTTTTCTTTTTCATATGAAAAGATTTACTTGACAGGTAAAGGCCCCAAATTTAATATACCTGATATAAAATACTGTGTTTTCATTTTTAAACTTCTCCTAAGAAAAATATGCCTGTTTATGATCTTTTTTTCCTTATTTTTTAGTTTCCTATGCTAGTATAGTGGGAAATATTTCTATCAGAAATGTTGTTCACTGAAAATCTATCACAGCAAGTAGGCATTAATCCTGGAATCACAGAATGGTTGGGGTTAGCAGGGGCCTTTAGAGATCATCTAGTCCAACCCCCTGCTCCAGCAGGGACACCCAGAGCACGGAGCACCCGGTCGCATCCGGGCGGGTTTGGAAGATCTCCAGAGAAGGAGACTCCACAACCTCCCTGGGCAGCCTGTTGCAGGGCTCTGGCACCCTCACAGTGAAGAAGTTCCTCCTCACATGGAAATGGAACTGCCTGGGTTTTAACTTATCCCCATTCCCCTTGTCCTGTCACTGGCCACCACTGAGAAGACCTTGGCCCCTTCCTCCCTACATTCTCCCCTCAGATATTTGTACATGTTGAACAGAACCCCTCTCAGTCTTGTCTTCTCCAGGCTAAACAGGCCCAACTCACTCAGTCTCTCCTCATACGAGAGATGCTCCATTCCCTTAATCATCTTTGTCGCTCTCTACTGGACCCTCTCTAGAAGCTCCACTTCACTCTTGTCCTGGGGAGCCCAGGACTGGCCCCAATGCTCCTCTATGTGCGGCCTCACCAGAACTAAGTAGAGGGGCAGGATACCCTCCCTGCCCTGCTGCAACGTCCTCCTGATGCAACCAGGATCCCATTGGCCTTCTTGGCCACGAGGGCACTGCTGCCTCATGGTTAACTTGACAACCAGGACTCCCAGGTCTCTCTCCGTGGAGCTGCTTTCTAGCAGGTCAATCCTAATCTGTAMTGGTGCTTGAGATTACTCCTCCCCAGGTGCAGGACCCTGCCCTTGTCCTTGTTGAACCTCAGGAGGTTCCTCTCTGCCCAGCTCTACAGCCTGTCCAGGTCCCTCTGAAAGGCAGCACAGCCCTCTGCAGTGTTGGCCACTCCASCCAGCTTGGTATCGTCTGCAAACTTGCTCAGGGTGCACTCCGTGCCCTYGTCCAAGTCATTGATGAACAGGTTCAACAGCACCGGCCCCAGTACTGACCCCTGGGGACACCACTGGCCACAGGCCTCCAACTGGACTCGGCTGCATTTATGACCACCCTCTGAGCCTTGCCATCCAGCCCATTCTCAATCCACCTCAATGTGCATCCGTCCAGTCCATACTTCYGGAGCTCTCCTAGGAGGATATGGGAGATGGTGTTGAAAGCCTTGCTGAAGTCAAGGTAGACAACATCCACAGCTCTCCTCCTGTCCAGCCGTCCAGTCATCCCATCGTAGAAGTCTGTCAGGTTTGTCAGACATGACTTCCCTTTGGTGAATCCATGCTGACTACTCCTCATCACCTCCTTCATATGCCTAGAGATGCCCTCCAGGATGAGCTGCTCCATCGCCTTTCCAGGGACAGAGGTGAGGCTGACCGGCCTGTAGTTGCCTGGCTCCTCCCTCTTGCCCTTTTTGAAGCCTGGAGTGATGTTGGTTTCTTCTAGTCCTCTGGCACCTCCCCTGCTCTCCATGACCTCTCCAAGATGATGGGAGAGAGGCTGAGCAGCAATCCCCGCCAGCTCCCTCAGCACTCTCGGGTGCATCCCATCCAGGCCCATAGATTTATGGGTGGCTAGTTTGCCTAAGTGATCCTAACCCAATCCGGCTCGACCTGTGGAAGTTCTTCCCCTCTCCCGATTATCTCTCTTTTACCTGAGCTCTGTAGTTCTTGGGGACTCGCTTAGCAGTAAAGACAGAAGCAAATGCGGCATTTAGTAACTCTGCCTTCTCTGCATCCCCGTCACGAGTGCACCCTCCCCATTCAGCAACGGACTCATCTTCCGCTTGCTGCAGATGCATTTGTCGAAGCCCCTCCTGTTGTCCCTGACATCTCTTGCTGGCTCTATTTCCAGATAGGCCTTGGCCTTCTTCATTGAATCCTTACATKCCCTACATTATATTGATTGATCCCATGTGGTCTGTCCCTTCTTCAACTTTACATATGGATTACCTTTTTTTTCCCAAGCGCTCCTTGCCCATTCATACAGGTCTCCYGCCCTCCCTTGCTCGACTTCTTTCTTGTGGGAACACACCGATCCTGAGCTTGGAGGAAGTGGTGCTTGAATATTAGCCAGCTCTCCTGGATCCCATTTCCTTCTAGGACCCTGGCCCAGGGACTGCTCCAGGGAGCTGCCTGAAGAGGTCAAAGTCGGCTCTTGAAGTCCAGGGCTGCAATCCTACTTCTCGCTCAGTTTCCTCCACATAGGATCATGAATTCCAACATCTCGTGGTCCCTGCAGCAAAGACTGCCCCGCACCCTCACATTTCCCACTAGACCATCTCTGTTTGTTAGTATCAGGTCTAGCAGTTCCTCTCCCTTTGTTGGCCCATCAACCACCTGCATCCAGAAGTCACCTGCCATGTTCTGCAGCAGCCTCCTGGGCTCTCTGTTCCAGCTGSGCGGTTATCCCAGCAGACATCGGGCTGCTCCAAGGCCCCGTGAGGACCAGGGCCTGGGATCGGGAGGCTCCTGCAGCGGCCTCTGGAGGCCTCATCCCCTTCCTCTTCCTGCTCAGGAGGCCTGTGGGAAACCCCCAGCACGGCCAGCGTGGGCCCTGGGGGCTGCCCTTCCATCCTCACCCGCAGGCCCCCGACTGGCCTCCCCTGCGCCCAGCTCCACACATTCCAGCTGCTCTCTCCCGCAAAGGGCAACTCCGCCACCTCGCCCTCCTGGCCGGGCCCTCCCCAACAGCCTCCAGCCGCCCATGGCCGCGTGCCCGTCGTGAGAGCCGTCCCTCCCAGCGGCTCTGGGGAATCGCAGGGAGATCCCGGCCCTGTGCTCGCACCCGCAGCTCCAATTCACAGAATCACAGAATATTCAAGGTTGGAAGGGACCTCTAGAGATCATCTAGTCCAACCTTCCCGCTCAAGCAGGCACACCTACAGCATGTGGCACAGGGTGGCATGCAGGTGGGTTTCGAAGACCTCCAGAGAAGGAGACTCCACAACCTCCCTGGGCAGCCTGTTCCAGGGCTCTGGCACCCTCACAGTGAAGAAGTTCCTCCTCACATGGAGATGAAACTTCCTGTGTTTCAGCTTATGCCCATCTGTTCCGTCTGTTTATTCCCCACGCTGGGTGTTTTTCCGTAGAGGCCTTSGAGCTGGGCTCCCAACACGCCGCTGTCTGCAGCTGGGGCAGCTCTAACGGGCCTGGGTGGCCTTCAGGAGCTCTCTTGCTTCGCCGGTTTCCTCTCCAGGCCTGGAGCAGCCTTCGCTGGCTCTGGAGTGGTGTGGCTGGCATGGGGATCCCCTCCCTTACCCGCCACTTCCTAAGGTGGGAACGTGGAAACGCGAGCGGTCCCGGTCTCATGTTCTGTCACCCAACATTGGGCACCGCGGGACGCTGGGGACCTCATTCGTTAGGAGGCAGAAGGGGCTACGTGAGATGTCGGTCKCTGCGGYTGCGGCAGCTGCGTTGGGCGCCGCRCCGCTCTGCACGGGGCTCTGCGTTCCGGCTGCTGCCGCACGCGCTCCCCCTGCAAGCAGAGCAGCCTTCGTGCGCACTGAAACTCCTGTCCGTGTAAAATGGATAGTCACACTTTTCATTTTCTGAGTAGCTTTGTGAAACTGTCTTTTCTACTGGTTTATGGAGTTATTTAAAATACATGAGACTGCAAAGCGTTGGTTTCCACCTTTGACCTTGTTTGGGCTGGGCCCTCTCCGTACGGCTCTTCCTTGGCGGGTATCCCCCATCGGGTCGGGGTGGCTGGTGCGTGGGCAGAGCACGGGACGGCACCGGCGCCTGCCCAGGCTGTGGGTGCCGGCGGGACACGCGGGGGCCCTGGGAAYGCCGAGGGCGCAGGGAACAGGCGCCAGACCCGCCGTCCGTGCCTCGCCCGAGCCGTGTGGGCCTCTTATGGCCCCTGCCACCCCAGAGCCCCCCACAGCCCCATGTGCATTTGGTTCCTTCATGACTATGTTAAAACAGCAATCTTTTATTTATTATTTTATATAATGAGTCGATAAGTAATATTCATAAGCCAATGAATCAGGCATTTTGCTGCCAAGATGAATGCACAGAGCAGGYAACGGAGAAGAGCGTAACCGGGAACGCCAGGAAAATGAGCTGGATCAGAGGTGGCCCCGAGCTCCCCTGGTGACAGCCACAGCCCCCSCAGCTGCCGCCAGACCATCCCGAGGCCACCGAGCGCTGCGGGTGGCTGCCGGGGGCACACKGGGCCACAGCGACACCCGCAGCTCRGCCCTCCGCCCCACAGCGTCACCGGCTTCAGCACAGGCAGCCGAGAGGCAGGACACTGGTTTTGTCTCCTTCCATGGGTCTGTTCCTGCAGGATTAAAACACAGAAAAATGGTAACAGCATCACAATCAGTGGCTTCCAGTTTATCTGGTTACCTCTCATTTATTCTGGGAAGTCAGTCTCCATCATGAACCCTCTAGCCTGGACTCCCTTCTCCCCGTCATGGGTCCTCCTTTCTTTTTACCCCATCCCTCTCCTACCACTACCCTTCYGCTCTGCCACGGTTCTGCGCTCCAGTGTTTCCAAGCACTACATAGGACTGTGTAACTGTGAAAAAAAAAATCAGTTTAATGTGCGTATTTTAGATGTTGTTTGTGTTTGGAAATGTTGATGCTAAGGGATGGACCTTGCCACTAAGCCACAATCAGACCTGAAGCAATTTCATGCTTATGTGTTTTCTAAAAAATGTCAAATTCAGGGCCATGACTCATATGGAGGACAATGTGTATTAATTTAGTTTCGTCTCTGAAGACACTCACATGAATATATGTAGGAATAATGTCGTACAGGGCTGTTGTGCAGATGCTTTAGGGTGAGGTATGTAACTTCCGCAAACTTGTCATCTATTTTAAACGCGTGGTTATTTTCTTACAATCAGTTACATGTTACGTAATGTTTGGGTTTAAGTATCCGCTCATTACAAGCAGAGATAAAAGACAAACTGTAGAGGCTACATCTGTTTTGAAATATTGAATTACATTTCTCACATTAGAAGTGTCCTTAGCAGTTGGGCTAATTAAAGATATAATCATATCCTTATGATAAATATTTATAAATTGAAAATCTGGCACTTGTAAATATGTATTGCTACTGTGGAAAGTTAAACCATTCTTGTGAGCGGTACCGGAAGAAGCCTCACTGTGGATTTTCTGTGAACATGGTCATTACCAACAACACTGCCCTTGTAAAGGAGCGTCTGTGGGCAGCGCCAATGGGGCCAGCACGAGCGCCCATCGTTGTCCAAGCGCCTGTTCCAGGAGAGCCTTAGTGAAACCTGGAGTGTTTGGCCGCTGTGTGCACATGATGGTCTCCTCTTGCAGCCACCAAGCACGAAAGGCCTGTGTGCACAGCCTGCCACCCCTGTGTGCACACACAGCCTGCCACCCCGTGTGCACACACAGTCTGTTATCCCTGTGTGCACACACAGCCTGCCACCCCTGTGTGCACCATCAGTCTGCTATCCCTGTGTGCACGCACAGCCTGTTATCCCTGTGTGCACACACAGCCTGCCACCCCTTGTGTGCACACACAGCCTGCCACTCCTGTGTGCACCATCAGTCTGCTATCCCTGTGTGCACACACAGTCTGTCACTCCTGTGTGCACAGCCTGCCATCCGTGTGTGCACACACAGCCTGCCACCCCTGTGTGCACACACAGCCTGCCATCCGTGTGTGCACGCACAGTCTGCTATCCCTGTGTGCACACACAGTCTGTCACCCCTGTGTGCACACACAGCCTGCCACCCCTGTGTGCACGCACAGCCTGCCACCCCTGTGTGCACAGCCTGCCACCCCTGTGTGCACACACAGCCTGCCACCCCTGTGTGCACAGCCTGTCACCCCTTGTGTGCACACACAGCCTGCCACCCCGTGTGCACACACAGTCTGCCACCCCTGTGTGCACACACAGTCTGCCACCCCTGTGTGCACACACAGTCTGTTATCCCTGTGTGCACACACAGCCTGTCACCCCTTGTGTGCACACACAGCCTGCCACTCCTGTGTGCACCATCAGTCTGCTATCCCTGTGTGCACACACAGTCTGTCACTCCTGTGTGCACACACAGCCTGCCATCCGTGTGTGCACAGCCTGTCACTCCTGTGTGCACACACAGCCTGTCACTCCTGTGTGCACACACAACCTGTCACCCCTGTGTGCACACACAGCCTGCCACCCGGGGGAGCGGCGGGGCGGCCGGTTCTGCTCTCCAGAGGGTCCCTCGGCTCTTCCACAGGTCCCGGGGCTGCCGTTCGCGGCTTTGCAAACAGCTTGGCACACAAGTGGAGAGTCGGGGTAGGTAGTCACCCTACGAATCTGATCCGCGTGTCATCATGTTTCTGGATAAACACAATTTTTAAATTAATATCTCCCCTATGTTAAAGGAGAAACAGCTTTCCTGCATGCCTCATTCACATATATTTTTCCTGGTTTATTACAGATACTTTCTATGACCTGAAAAATGTGGTTTTGCTGAGATACAGCCAGCCTAGTAAAGGTTTTTTGTCCTGAGAATCATCACTGACAGACTGAAATTAATAAGGCTACTTTGCACTTAATATAGTAATAAGTGTTTCTTAATGACTCTAATATATAAGCAAATGTCTGAACACATTTGAGAGCTTTGCTGAATAAACCTGCACTAGTATGTGGTTTTCAAGCAACAAAATGAGAAAAGAATTTGTTCTTCAGAAAGAAAGGACAAATATAGTAGTTTCTCTAGATAAGAGGCAATTTTTCAGATGTGGTAAAAATACTTGGTGCATACAGGAAAAACAACAGCCTAACTCTATTAAATGTCTTCTTTTTTTTTTTTTTTTACCATCGGTGATGGTAGATGCTGTAATTTCTATCAGCTTTTGCTCATTAAAAGGCTGCAACACCTTCGTCCTCCCCCTTGCAGAAATGTTAACCCAAGACAAGCAGAATTAAAGGGGACGAAACTATGAATACTGGCAACTGAGATAGATTTGAGTACAAAACTAAAGCAGGGAGTGCTAGAAGCTGCTGTTTCTGGAATTTACCAGCCAACACAGGCCATGCTGCGTTATTTAATCTGTCGTGTAATCCGAAGCGACAAGGGAATAATATTTTCTTCTTCCTGCCTTAGAGACTTCAGTTTTCGCAAAGCTTCTCCACCAAGTGAGCAATCTCAGGCCTTGCTTATGTGCTGCCTGTCAGTATTTAAGATAATAGAGATTTAAATACACTGAACTTTAGCTCAAAATCATTTCATCTTGAAATTATGTCCTCATATACAAGCACAGTAAACAAATTTTGTATTTTTGATGTAACTTCAAAAGAACAAAGTTTTTAAGACAAAGTGTAATGATGTAATTTAGCATGTAGACACAGATACAGACATTTCATATATACATTACTATTTCCTACATCATATCCCTTTTTCCCCAAAAAAATCAATAGCAACATAGTACAAAGTACATTTACTTAGTATAATCTCTAATGGCATTAAATAATATTTGTGACTATTATACTGAGTTAAAGAAGAGTTTTCCTTTAAAGTTTGCAGCATGATGTTTGCTGAGCACAGCACAGGYGTCACGTGCAGTACCCGTTCACATGCATTATTCTCACAGCTCCTCCATGAGGAAGGAGCTCCTGAAGGACACGTGAAGTAGCCTCATACAGGACTGCGTGGGGCAGACCCTGGCGTTTCCGAGCTGCAGGAGATTGGGTGCTGGTGGGAGCAGGGAGCAGGTTTTCTGGAGACACCTGAGGCGCAGGCACGGCCAGTCCTGCCGATGGTGCCGTGAGCGGCAGTTTCGCATCTCTGCTGCTGCAGCACCTGCCTGGCAGACGCAGGGATGTGAACGCCACCCAGGTAACAGGGAGAGGAAAATCCACTTAACTGCCCCAGAGTGGGGCTGCTCCCAGCGACCGCGCGGTGCTGCCCCTGCCGTGCCACGGCACCCGGGTCCTGCCAGGGGCCAGGCATCCTGCAGGCGCTCGTGCTGCAAGAGCACCGCCGTGCTGGGCAGAACAGCCTTGGGAACAGCTGCTGCATGCGGGGAGCGAAGGCGACAGGAGAGGCCGGGGTGTGCCTGGTGCTGCAGCACAGTGTGCCACAGGGCAGCTAGGACAAGCGGCTGCACTTGCCAGGAACATCTCCTCGTAGACTGGTGTTTGGGTACATGGGCCATGCGCACGCTTGCAGCGTTTAGCATGGCCTCTCTGTGCCCAGAACCGGCTCTGTTTTGTTGTTCTGCCTCTGGAAAGGTACCAGAGAGGGTTAACAAATGGGATTTTCACTTAGGACAGTTTCTTTCCTTTGTAGAGCTGCTTCTCCACCCATTTACTTCCATTCTGTGTCTCCTGCTGTTCTTACCAGACTCTAGCTAGTTYGAGGCACCAGCTTTTGCTAGTGTAGCCCTTTCCTTCAGTCCTGATTGAGCAAAAGCTRCGGCCAGCAAAAGTAATGACTTTTAAATAAGCACAGTTCTACTTCAACTGCAACCTAATTTTCATCATCAAATATAAAYGCTGAACACAGAAGCAGAGCAGCCAGACCAGACTGCAGATCTCTGTAGCCCTGTCTACTGCTTCTGCAGCAGAACYCTAGGGAAGAGAAGACAGCAGAATATATAACAATATTTCTTTAAAATACCTTTTTAGTCTCCAACAATGCATCTTTTCAGGGAATTATTTGATCATATGAATGTTATTAACATATTGCTGTTTAACAATAGATTATTTTACGGATGTATCCAATTCATTTTGGTTTTTGAAAACTCACCTTTCACAATGTCCATAAGGAGTTTCGAATTTGCGTAATGTGGAGAAGTATTTCCTTTTGTTTCCTTCGCACCTCACCTGTGGTTTGTGCTGGAAGTCATAAATCTGCAAATGAAATACAGAGAACACTGGTTCACATTGGTAGTTATTTTAAAAATACTTAATTCATTAACAGTTGCAGGTTGATAATATGGATTATGTGATAAATTTCAATGCTCAGCCAATGCTCAGCCCCCCAAAATTCTCTACAGACTTCATGGCAAAAGAAGAAGGGTCTGGACTGTGCCCATTACATATTTATTATGTCATTCATATTCYACTAATTTAGACTTCTTCATTCTCTTACAGTCTCATTTGCTGAGAAAAGCATTTATTTAATTGAAGGCTCAGTCTAAATAAAGCCTGCTGCTGATTGCCTGTGCTGATTATTCCAGGCATTCTCTTTCTAATTTGGAAAACTTGCTTTCTTTTCTGAGGTTTATTTTTATATGGTAATTCTCTTCCTACATTTTTACACCATCCGTAGCACTGGTGTGAGCAGTTCAAATGCAGGCCACACCAGTCACATTTTGGACACATAAAATGTACAAAACCAAATATTTCAGTTACATTAGAAACTAGAGTAGAGAAACAACAACTTCCGAGTAACGCTTTTTTTGGAAATAAGCCACGGAAGTGAAGTTCATTATAGAAACTAGAGTCAGCTTTGGAATTTAAATTAGTTAAGACTGAATTTGTACCCAGTCTCATTTGTTTGTGTGAGAAAATTGTTTTCTAAATATATATTTTTTTAAGAAGCAACTTCTGAATATTTCAAGATAAATGCAGATGCATTATTTTCCATGCTGTTTTAGCTTATTTGGAATTCTCTACTCATTGCATCTAGATTTCCTTTGAAATTTCAGACGTGCTCTGTATTTCTTCAATTAACTTCATTTATCAAACATCCAATAATGGACTTAAAAATAATGAAGCTTACAGGTTTTTCAATGTCAGGAAGACAGATGTACTTCATAAAACCTGTCTCCCTGGAGATTTTTCCCCCTTCTTTGTGACCTCRTCACAAAGGATGAGGTCACAAAGGGATTCCTAAGGATGAGGAAGATAATTTGTGATCACATCAGATCTCACTAGGGACATACAAAGTTCTGCTGGGATGAGCTTCTATTCTGTGAGCTACAGAGCGCTGCCAATGAAGGACTTCAGACTGCCAGAAGCCAGAGGCCTTGCCCAGAGCCCCCACTTAGTCCTTTTCAAAGGAACCAACTGTTCCTTCAACAGACAGGTTGGACAAGAAGCTTTGAAGAGCAGCGACTGTGTTAGTCCACATGGAAGGAGGCAGGTCCTTGTCCTGCCCCTGCCAGGGCCACTGAACTGCCCCCTCTTGGTGCTGCCCTCGTCTCGCTGCACTGCAGCAGGCGAGCGTGGCCGGGGCAGCGTGAGGGCAGCGAGCAGGGGTGACCGCGGGCRCACGGGGCCACAGGCGCTGCGAGGAGCCCGACGCGGCACCAGCCAAGGCCGCGGCGCTCGCCCGGGGCCCTGGCGCTGCCAGTTGTTGCTCGCAAGGGCTTCCCACATGGATAAGGTACAGTTTGTGGAAAGAAGATGMTGCTGTTTTAAAATAACCTTAGCTTCTCCTGCTAACAAACTGACGACTTCTTGCTATTCAGTGTGTAGTTTATTCAGGTAATGAGCCATTTTCTCACCTGGTTCTTGTCAGAAATCCAATCTTCAGCACACTAACAACACTTAGATAGCTGAAGCTTTTTTTTTTTTTAATTGTTTTCCAAAATTCTGGTCTCCTGATTCATGCATTTTCTCAAAATATAATCTGAGTTCTGTTTAAAATTGTCTTTTCATTAGTATCCCCTGAAAGAGACGGAGAACATTTCATATAGGACATGGTTTCTTTTAGCACCTATTATGGCTGGGATTGAGATTGGGAAGCACAAGCAGGTGTTGGGGACTACGATGGACAATCCTGCAAAGCAGAACGGCTGTAGCGCGTGGAGCGGCAGCCACTGTGGCACGTGGCCCTGGAGCCTGCGCGTCGCAGCCTCTTGTGTCCGCATCCAAAACACAGCTCAGCTCTTCACTTGTATCTTCTTCCGCAGGAGGTCCGTGAACAGCCTAGCAGTGTCCATCACCCCAGCTCTGCTAATGCACCCTGCCACTGGGGCTACAAAATTGAGGAGAGCACCAGGAGAAAAAGAGAAGATGGGAAATGCTGATAAAAAMCAGACCTTCTTACCAAGCTGTTCAACTCTGAGCGATAAAGAACCACTGAGAGCCTGTTTAAGTTCCTGTAGTGGCATTTGACATTATTTGATGTGTTGGCTCTAGAAGGCAGATACTAGAAAGAGTGGAGCTAGAGTTACAGAAGTTATTAATTACTTTCCTCGGGACCTACCTGCTGCATTATCTAAGCTGCTGTGTATTCTTACAAGCTAAAAGGATGTCTGAAGGGACAAAATACAATGTATACATTAGATTAGCATTAAGAACAAACTATTTATGAASTCACTTCATGGTCAAGCCAATGAAGAGTCTAAGGCTCACCCACATTTGAMGTATGCCACACTTCAGACAACATTTATTTACACATAATGTTTTTGAGTATTTCATACGTGTTTTATATCAAGATTTTCCCAACTACTRTTTCATAAATCATGGATTAAAAACAAATCACTGCTGTGGCTGCTTTTTGTGAGTAGGCACCGCACCTTTTTGGCTATAGCTGACTCTCCTGAATTACATTTACCAACCCAAGCATACCTTAAAGCAGGTTATTAAAACAGTGCCTGGAAGGACAAATGCTGTTTGTTTCTCCCAGGGTTTAGAAAAAAAAGGAGGTGGGAGGGGCACTAATGATTTGACAGTATTACTTCAGAAAAAGGTTTGAAATGAATAAATTCAGTCTGMGCGCACACATCTTAAGATTCTTTTTATGTTTAAGATCAAAAGCAAGAGCAAAGTAAATTGCCTGCTTGTCATCTTGGTATTACTGCATTGACTGGTTCAGATTTCCTTCTTATGCTAACTAACAAAAGTGGAATGCAGTGGAGGGAATGAAGTATTATTGAAGAAAAAAACCAACATCAGTTAGACTTTTGTTGTACACAGCAGTGACCTGTTTCTTTGTTCCAGATGTTACAGACTGTGGCAGAACAGCAGGCATTGACACCAGGAGTGGCAACAGAGAGTAACTGAAAGCTGAAGGCTGCCCAAAATTTTCATTATCAAGTATCTGAAGTTGGTTCTTAGCAGAGGCTGATCTTGAGAGGCCGGGTCCAAAATGGCCTTTCTGCACTGAGCACTTGTGCCCTGGAGCTGGCAGCAAAATTCCCCCCACAAGGGGGAATCTGGATGAACAGCCCCCAGCAACACCACCCAGTTCAGAATTGGAACGACTCTGCCTCTCCCAGCCCAGGGTCTAAATCACATCCTCACTGGTCCGAGGTACCACCGTTTGGTCTGTTGAGACATCTCTCATTTTAGTTCTGTACGAAAATAACTTTTGGAGCATAGGTGGTTAGCAGATATTAAACACARGTATGGTAAAGTTGCAGCATTTGTCCCAGAGGAAAGAAAACTTACACTGAAATACTAGTTTGGGGCTTGGTTTACATATGTGGTGACAGCAAGTCTTAACTTTTCTTCTTTTTTTAACTCCAAAGATTAAATTTGGTGGATGGTGGAAAGATGTTTCTTAAGGAATAATGATGCTTCTGGTAAAAAGAAATAGCTTATTTCCCTGACTAAGCACTTCCCTTACTGGTGGGTTTTCTACATGGGTTTTCTTTTCATTCATTCATTTCATTTACTACATGGGTTTTCATTTCACTATCGTTTTATGGTAGGTTCCTACATGTATTCACATACAAAAAACCCTCTGCTTATCTACCAGAAAAAGTGTAAAATATCAAAAAGAACATTGATTATTATAGCAGCACTGGCATTTCCAGTAAGATAGTACACACATTTCGCAGCTGCAGCTGGTGCGGTCATCGGGCAGCAGATGCCTAAATGCTGGATCTCTGGAATCTTCATTCAGCTTCAGCTTAATCCTGCAGGTAAAAGGCAAGACAGAACAAGGTCTGTGTGAGGTGTCCGCCTAGGAGGGGACTTTCCACTTCAGCATACCCAACAACCCAGCCCATGAGCAATTCTAGMTGGGCGCCTGCCTGCCACTGTGCAGGAAAGATTTAAGATTCACTACTGCAAATGTAGCCCAGGGAAGAGGTTCAATGAGAAAGAAAGAAAGAAATGCTAAGTTCTGCTGCCAGAATTGCTTAAGTATTTTACATTAAGCAGGCACGGTAATAACCTGCAAGATGTTAGGGAGTGAGAACTGACTGCATTTTCAAATTACCTGTAGCATCAGATGTAAAACATCCATCCTTATTGTATGGTTCCATGACCCAAACAGTATCTGGAAAGCACAGTATCTCTACAAAGAGTTTATAATGTTATGGGACTCTGGCATTCTGTCCTTCCTTTAAAGTTTCCTGCAGCAAAGTCTACGCAATCTCTTGCTGTTTTGTTCATTGTGCTGAATTGCAAATTATCTTTTKCACCAGACAGGTGACTGTGTTGCACTGAGCAAAGAGCAGTCATCCTGGTAAACTGAACAGGGTGGCTCATGAGCATAGCAAGTTCCACCTGAAACGACCTCCATGTGCCACTAAAATGTTACTTCATTCTTTCTCCTACCTTTCCTACCTTCAGTCATTTGCTCTTTACGTAGGGTTGGGCTCAGGCATGGCAGTACCTGTGCAGGTTTTGCCAAGCACAGGATACTGTTTGTATCTTGATTGTCTGAGCAGCATTTACCTACAGGCTGAGTTTAGAGTTGAGCCTAGGTAGAAGCCAGACTGGTATTTTACAGCAGGCTTCAATCAGTATCTCCCATGAAAGCAAAGGAAACCCTGAGAGAGCTGCCTGTCTTAGGACAGTCTCACCTGCCTTCCCCGGCATCACTGTGACAGAGGTCTGAACAGGCAGATCGAGAAAACACAACAGGTTTGCTGACTAGGGAAAAAAGGATTTGCTTGTAATGTTGGKGTATATTCCTAGTAAGAACTCTTTGCCTTCAAATTATTTATCCTATTATCCAGTTTTTGTTGTCTGAGGGTAAAAAACAATAGTTGATAGAATGTTTGTCCTTTAAGCCTGTAGCATCTCACAAGTGACCCCTTCACTGGCCTACTGTTTGAATACAATGAAGCATGGGTTACTTTTATATTAAGTACAGAATAGCATGCTGCTGAATTCAGGAAAGATAAGAGCTCATCCTTAGAGGTTCTGCTTAGTATTTTGTAATGATACCACGGTTTAAACTATGCAGTACATATGGTCAAAATTCACTTTATGCCTTGCTACAGCTACTAAGAATGTGGAACATAAACTTAAATAACTCATTTCTCAGAGTGTGCTTCAGTGAGTTGTAGTTTTCTCTTAATTTGTTTGGGCACCTTTTATTTATTTATTTATTTATTTATTTATTTATTTATTTAGCACAGTGAAAGCTTCCTCATTTTGACTGTTTTTAAGCAGCAAGATGTCTCATTTCTTACCTCCAGATTGCATTTTCCTTCCTAGACACTGGCACCTGTGACTTTCAGACCTCGGCAGCAGGGTATTTGGTTACATGTTTAGAACTCAGGAGGTTTGTAGTGTGGGGAACCCCGCTTTAGGAGAGGCGTTGAGGACCTCAGAACATCCCAGCCCTCCTACACATTGACATGACAGAGCCAGAGTCTGGTGGGCCGGGATGCAGCCACACCGGCAGGGCAGCGAGCGCCTCCCAGACCGTCAGCAGCGGGTGACGACGCCGKCTCCGCACAACCAGCCCATTATTTCACCTCGCAGGCGCCTCGGCTGTGAACACGCTGTGGGTTGGACAGGCCGACGAGCCGGATGTGGATCTTAGGCCTGAGGCTTTCTGCGGCGCGGCTGCTCTTGGTGCTGGCGCCTACACCTGGAGGCGCCGCGGCCTGGCTCGAGGCGCGAGGCAGGCGGCGCGACGCCCGGCGTCCCCGTCCTGCCCCCTCGGCATCGGCCTCCCGCGCTTTGCTTGACTCGTTTGGCAGCCAGTGTTCAGCAAGATTCAGCGTTTATAATGACGAACCGCAAAACATCTCTCCATTACAACACAGCAGGGTTTCAGCCAACACAGCAAACTATGTAGTCCCACTTCTGTAAAGATTCCAGAGTATTCTGGTTCATGAAACGGTCACCTTTGCTAACGACCACCCAGTCCTAAAATACCTGGTGTGCTTGTTGACTAACTCAGTATTAATCTGATATACTTCCAGATGCTTTTGCTGAGCCATCAAAGTGCTGCCATGACTAAGGAGCGCACAACCTATTGAATTTAAATAGATTTTATTAACCTATTATTTATTATTATTTATTATTATTTATTTATTATTTATTTATTATTTATTATTTATTATTTATTATTATTTATTAACCTATTATTAAATTTATTAACCTATTGAATTTAAATAGAAAGAAACACTTCTAAATTATGTAGGTACTTTGGAAAAGGCCTTTGTCCTTTATATTGCCATTAACAGTACTCTAAATCAGCTTCAGACTATAACATTTTAACATTTACATGTTTTGTATTGGATAGTAGGTAGCAGTTTTCAGCCATATGGTCCAAGTAGGTTTCTAACCTCAGAGCAGTAAGGAACAGGAGTAGAGGCAGCCTCAGGAAGCTGTGACTGACCCATGAGGATCACAGCCTGGATATTGGAAACAAAAACCCCACAGGTGCAGAAGAGGCTGCCGGCAGAGCGGCCGTGCCTCCCAGTGCTGACTCCCCAGCCACTCCCCGCTCAGGAGAGCCAGGAGAGCCGCACTGTGGGAAAGCAAATCCCGTTATCCGGGACAGCCCACAGGCCCCCTTGCCCGGCACGAACACGCACCCGCTCTTCGCGCTCGCCCCAGAACGTCACCACCAATACCTGCATCGGGAGCTTCAGTTTTCCTGTCTAAGTCACCTTCAGCTTCCTGCCCCTTTGRGCATTCCTAGCAAACAGAATCAATACGAACATGCTTAAAAGAATTGTAGGAACCTCTGCAGCAGCACGGCAAGAATAATAGAAATAAATAAACAGGCATCATCTCAACCAGCAGGGCCAACGGCAGCAACTGGGTTTCTGCTGTGTCTGCTGCCGGTGCCGGGTCGGCTCCAGGGCACCCCGAGGAGAGGGCAGCAGCAACGGAAGTGCGTAGCGTTAGAATCACATATACACCTACCTAGGAACAGTTTTACTTTGACGATTCATGAGATTGATCAGTACTTAATTGTTCTGTAGTAATAAAACCACTCAATTAAGATTTATAAAACATCAACTGAAGAGCAGAGAATAATCCAGTTGGTAGTGTCGGCTGAACTTGCAAAGGGATTCAGAGCAGTGAGTACAGTTTTTACCAATTACAGATTTTTCAAGACAAAATGTAGACATTTGCGGRGAAGGAGGGGAATTTTATTGGTTTGTAGGTAAAGATGACCCAGTTTCACCCAATTTCATCTAAATTGAACCTAAGTTTCAAAATTCCTGAAAAAGGAGCATGACAGAAAAGCAGATCTGGCATACGGCAACTCTAAGAAGTTGGTCTGATAGCATTTACAAGGCTAATTAATTTTTTTTGTTAGATTATCATATTCTGAGAGAAAAGAAAAGTTGACTGGACTTCTGTGAGCACCGATTTTGCTCACATATTAGATAAGAATTCAGGCAAGGATTCCAGAGTACTTTATAAAGCCTTAAATGCGAAGTGTGTTTGTTTTCTTTACCTGCTGTAGATTGTTGTTCAGCTCTTTTCTTCCTAACCAGTCTCCCATGCTGCCTGCCCGGACTTATTGATGATTTTTTGATACTGCTGTCTCCTGCAAAACATATTCAAGATATGTGCAAAAAAAATGCAACCTATATGCAAAAAATATGTTCTGTTTATATAGAATACTAAGAAAATCAGAAGTGCTGTGTTTGTGTTCTTTGTTTCTTTTGGCTCTGTTTATGGTCACCAGTCTTGGGTAAACAGGCTTAAGCTCTGCTTAGTGAATTTTCTCCATGTTAATTGACAAATACAGCTATATGATGCTTGCCTTTAAACTCACCTTTCAGAACCACCGTTCCTTAGCCAGTTACTTACTACTGATTGTGTGTGTGTCTGTGTGTGTCATTATAAGCAGCATCCTCTAAAGTACTCATTCTTTCTAGCAGCTTGACACACACCTTGCAGCAGACATGGAGACTCCAGTAACCCTACAGGGAGTGGAAAGCTGTTCTTTTTTACTCATTATTTAGAATGCAAGTTAAAGCCATCAGTTTCTTTCTGATTTCACACAATGAATCACTATAAACATGACACCTACAGCTGTATTTGCTACAACTTTTTTCTCTACAAGCCTCAGCCTCTATCCCCTCAACAGCATCTTTTACTACAAACACATTTTGTACCTAACCTGCAACTAAGTCCACACTCTCTTTTTTTAACAGGTGTTAAGGCAGTGTTTTCTGGACATTACCATAGGAATGCTGGGGGTTCCTACAGAGGACTGGAAATGGTGGTTTCATCAGCAATAGGATGTCAGCTGGGAGAAGATGAACACGGGCTCCGCGTGGTTGTTGTCACAGCTGAAAAGATTGTTCATAGATATTACAGTTTAAATGAACTGAGCAGCCAAGGAATAGATAAAGATCTTGTGGATATGCTTGCCAAGAAAAATTAGGCTGCCTCAAATGCCTTTTAACTCAAGAGGCTCATGGGTGTTTTTTCTAGATTAAATAGAAAGTTTCAGAAGTTTCCACAAGCTGAAGACACATTTCTCATTGTGCACCATGTCCCAACACAACTCTCTATTTGTTTAAATCCTACATAACAAAACAAGGAAGGTGTTGAAGTATTTCTCATTTAGAAAATGAAACCTCTACATGGTACATGCGAGAATAACAGAACAAGTATGGTAATACATTTTTGAAAAGGCTTAAGATTTTCTACTCTATTCCTGAACTTTCTTATCTGAAGAAGTATAGCCAAGAATAAGAGGAATTGCTTCCAGGTAACCCTGCAAATTAGAGTCTATTTTAATTTGATATTTAAGACAGTTTAAAATCTGTAAACTTAATCACTTCTATTACACCCCAGACAATAAAAATGTGTCATGTTTTTACTCCAGAAGGACAAATCTAAAACTCAGTGAAATCAACACGACTCTTTTAACAGCTTGGCTCAGACCTTGTTGCCTACAGTGGTCATATTTTCTCCCATTTTCCATAGTCATTTAAGTTCTTCAGAGCCAGCAGCAATAAGAGAGCAAACACATTCCACTTGTGCAAAGTTACAGCTTGTGGTTTCATTATAACTTGATTTTATATTATGAAACATCGATAAATGACACTAACACAGGTGCCACCGAGAGAAATTAAACACGAAACGATTATTTTCCTTTTTAAATGTAGCTACCATTCAATTAGCATGTATTATTGCTCTGTTTCAAAAGCTGGAATACCTGTACACCAAAAATACTCTCTGCAGAATACTGTCAGCATAAGTCACTGTTGATTCCTAGGCAAGTGTTAAGCATTCATTTTCAAATGCAATTTACGGGCGCCTTGTTGTAGTCCTGTGGCCACTGAGCGTTAACAACCTGTAAAGGTTCACTGTCTTCACTGGAGTAAGTCTGAAAATACAAATGATCTAACAAGAAAAGTTCCATTCTACGCTCATGTGCTGCAAGCTGTCTGATTCTGTAGCAAATATGTCTGATTTGCTTACTTTAAAAAAAAAAATAAAGAATCCTGCTGTCATTTAACTAGCCTCTTTGTTACGTGTATCGCCGAGCGTCCTGTAAGACCTGTGCCAGTGAGGCAGCCGGTGCAGGCGCAGAGCGTGAAGCTGGAGGGGCGCGGACAGGCCCGCRGGCCCTGCACGACAGGCTGCTGCCGGCCGAGCCTGGTGCCCGCGGGGCCGCTCGCCCCGGGCAGCGCTGCAGTCGCTGCAGTCACTGCRGTCCCACCAGCAGCAGCCCTCAGCCCTCGGGGGCTCCGCTGCCACACAGCGGCCTCATCCCACAGTTCTGTAAAGACCCCGGCAGCTGGTTTGTTGTAAGAGTGAAGCAGCTGTACCTGTAGCTGGACAAACGTGGGTTCTTCCCACATGCACCTTCCCAGGCGAGTCTAGCTTAGGAGTAATAGAAAAAAAAAGAATGATTCAAAAGGAAGGAAAAGGATTCTGCTTTCAGCCTCCAACTGAATGTTTTCAGGCCTCCTTTAGAGGAAACCTCTGGGAACCTGAGAACTAGATTCCTTTGCAAAAACCACATGTAAGTTCATCAGAAGTGCAGCATGTATAGTTATTTCTGATACTTTTACAAAGGTCTATGTGCACAGATGTCCCCTAAGCCACAAAGTACTTTCAAATTTTGCTCCTAGGTGACCTGCAGCTTTAGGAATCCCTGCTAACAGTTTATTGGAGGATCTGATGCTCCTCTCTGTTCTGCACAGGGAAGAACAGTTTCTCTGTTAGTTAAATCTTTTGACTCTGTCAGTTGAAATCTTAAGCTGTAGCAGCACGGGAGGCAGCGCAGAGAATGAGATCCCCCTGTTCTCCTTGCTCTGGCACAGAGGTGYCCAGCAGAACACAGGGAAAGCATAAACTGCTTTCTAATATGTCTGCTTATTAAAGGATATAATTTCAACTGAGTGATCGAAGCTTGGGACAGCCAAACCTAAGTTCAAGAGAAAGGCTTTCCACAAATTTTAATAGTACTTGCATATAACAGTCTAAAAACTCATTTGAGAGGTATGACATTTTAATATAAAAAGAAATGTTCTGCAATGTCTCATGTTTTAAGTTTGAAAACAACTGGGCTACTGTGATCGTTGCTTAACTTCACCTGAATCTTTAATTAATCCTGGTGCAGCTGCTGAGCTTGCTGGCCGCATCCTGCAGGCAGGTGCTGCTATGTGCAAATCACAAGGCGCTGGATGGGCACTCCAGCAGCTCACTGCCTTGGGCAGCAGGAGCAAACGTCGCACAACCCATCCCGGCTGCCAAAGGCTCCCAGCGGCTCCACCTCCGGCCACGGGGCCMTGTCGCGTCGCCGGGGACAGTGGAGACATCATCCCAGTGCAAGGAGAGTCAACCTTTATTTTCCAGGCATTTTAAGTAGGAAAGGTTTCGAGATGAAGTGATGGCAGCAGGATATTCTAGAACTGTATTTCGGCTGCAACAAATAAAACTGAACTTTCAAATTCATACAGCTAGCTCACAAGACCAGCTTAATGTAAGGCACAGATCAGGGTAGGTAGCTTAACATCTTACATGTACTTAGTATTATTTTATACTAAGTAATAGTACTTAGTAATAGTAATAGTACTTAGTACATGTACTTAGTATT